ACAACACCAATTCATTCCTAGGTTCTATTTCCAGATCTGAGTTACTGTGTGACCTTCACCAAGTTACAATATGTTTATCTCAATTCACTCCCCTCACCCCCAACTAAGCATTTATGAACTAGGATCAATACTTCCCATCTTAATATTCCTCGGGGAGAAAATATTCCAAGCATGCAGCACAGTGTCAACACTGGTGAAAATGTCAAGCCCTGACTACCAGGGAGAAACAGATCCTTTTGGCTTTTGTATCCTACAACTTTAAACGATTCAGAAACAATGCAACAGAAGTAACAAGAATCCAAACCTTCATAGCAACACCTAAGTGAAAAAGGATATATTTTCTGCTTCTCTTCATTATATAACACATCTACCAACTGGATGACATTTTTGTGTCGTAATTGTCGCAGGAGCTGAATTTCCCTGGAGGAAGAGAGGAAAAAAAGAGTATTTCTTTACTACTGAAATAACCTGATTTTTCTTTTAAGAGCCATTTGACTTGTAAAGACATTTTAGACTGTGCTAATCCCAGCTGCTTCACCCAAGATTAGCTATACATTCTGTTCAAGTGACACAGCTTTAAGCTTATTTCTGAGTCTATTAGACCAAGGTCAGACCCTAAAAAACTTACCTGTTGGTTAACTAGGATTGAAAGCAGGTGTGCTCTGCAGGGTTCCATTAGCTAAAATAGGTGCTTATGAAAAGGAGAACACACTGACAATGGGAGAACTGTTCAACCTAGGTTAAAATAAACACATTATTCCTACCAGAGATCAGTAAAATTGTGTAAAAAAAAAAAATCATTCTTTACTTCTATGCCTTTACTTTCAGTTTTAAACATGAGGGATTCTGGACTTGGTTTGAAGTATTTTGCTGCATTTAAAATTATGGTTATTTTTGCACTCTGCTCGGCTCAGGCACAGTAAAGCACAAGGATGGCAGTTGTGAGAGCTGGGTCTCGTTTCCAACTCAGAGATCCTGGGCAAAATCTCTCTTTCCCTCTCTCTCAGAGATGCAGTTGCCCCACAGTCTTAAAGACTAATATTCTAGTGACATATATGTAAGCATTCAGAACATTTCCATTATTATCTGTAGGCAGCATCTCACATTTCACGTACACTAAGTCAAAACCTGAATTTAGGTTCCAGGATGTTGCAGAGCACACAAACACGTTCAGACCTCCTGCGCTGATATTGCAGTCTAACTTAATGCCATGTGTCTATCAACTCCACAGCTATGTTTTCTATTGTGTTTTTCTTCCTAGGTTCTGTATCAAGGCTAGCAAGTGCCCACCTCTAAGCTTGCTTCACTCCTTGAATAGTAGCGAAGCACTCCTACTTGTCAAGCAGGACAGAGCTGGACAACGGCAAGCTCAAAAACAAGAGGAGCAATCTACAGCTGTGTTGCCCTAAAGACGGAACAGCTGATTTAGGATTTCTTCCATGGCCACCCTTAGAGAGCACATTGCTTGCTTTCAAATGAAGCAAGCACACACAGGGACATGCCACACACTGCAGTATGCCTACCTATGCAGGGTATGCCCTTCTCCAATAAGAAACTATAGCTGGAATCTGGCTCTAGCCCAGACAACAGCTCCAAGGAAAAGCTGCCAGGAACTACCCCAAATGGTATCACAGACAGAAGCACAGCTTCAGTAGCTGCCCCCAAATCAAGCTATTTTGCCAGAAAAGCTGTAGGTGTAGGAGACTGGAGCTCACAAGTGACTTCAGCAGCTGAACCCTAGCCTGAAAGACGCACCTTGAGTTTTCTATAATATTTGCCAGCTCTAAGGCAAACCTTTTATCTCTGCACTTCGGGATTCTGCCTGCATGCACCTCATCTACAGTTACAGAAACTAGGATAAATTCAATCAGGATATCAGCCCCACCTCATGCTCCAGGACATGTACTTAGCAGCAGCAGGAGAAACAAGAACTATTCTCCTGTCCGTCACAGTATACCATACCATTGCACAAGTAGGTACATTACTTCTCTTTATACACGTGGCATCAGGCGCCATCTCAGACTACATCCTGTTTAAGGATACTAGTTCCTATTTAACAGGAATAACAATATGAAGGTTAGTCGGTTTCCAGAGGGAGTTTAAAAATAATTCCAAGTACTTAAAATTTACTCCACACCTCTTCCTGCCAGCATTGTTGTTTTATAGTCACTTATTAAAATGACTTTCGGTTCAGCATAAATCATGAGCAGATGACTAATTAACTCCAGAGAAAAAATAGCGGAACTGTCCACATATGAAAAGACAAATCTGGGCACATCTACACGTTCATTAATGTGCTTAAAATACTGCGCATTTCGTTGAATACTTGCTTAATAAAGTACTAAATTAAATGCACAGTAACTTGCACTGGCACATGGTTATTTTGTAATGCTTACCATACAGTAGCCTAATAACACTGCGCAGTAAGCTATTAGCACATTTTTAACTGCCATGCTCCTGCACGGTGCTACTAGGCTAACGTGTAGTAAGCATCTCATGTAGACGCGCCCCCCGTTAAAAGAAATTTAAAGACCCATAGAGCCAGAAAAGACCATAAGATCAAATTTGACCTCAAGATCAAGCTAGAGTAAGGTACTTCCTCCTGTAATCTTACTTCTAAGTAACATCTAAAATTGCTATGTAGTAAAACACAACACCTTTGAGAACAGGAGGAGGATGAAGCATTTCAACTAAAACACTAAAAAAAGGAATACTTTAGTGGAAAAAATAGCAGAAAGGTTAACAGCTGAATCAGTTTAATATTAAATGTCATGTATTTCAGAAAAAATTTGGGGCACCTCCAATGTTCCCTCTAAGGAGTAGGTGCCACACCTCCCTTAGCACCCTTCTTGGTGAATAAGGATGGCATAGTTGCACGGACAACATAGAGGGCAGGGAAGAGACTAGACTTCAACTACTTCAAATTAAGTTTTCCTCAGTTACTACTCTAGGCAGGAATTAAGTGAAGGAATGACAGACTCGCTGAGAGAAAGTTTACATGTGTGACAGCTGGATTTCAAAAAGAGATGCAAAGCACTGCTATGGGTAAGAAAGTCTACGGTTTTAATGCATGACTAACCCACTCCCTTCCCCTCAACCCCTTTTGAAGCTGCATAGTTAATCATCATCACTGCTGTCCAAAAGCGTTACATCTTACACGACGCATTACATCCATCACCATAAGAGGGAAATGGATAATATCTAGGAGAGACTGCCAAGAGCGTGGTGAATCACTGCATCACTGCAGAAGCACAGCCAGAGACATTCAGTACTTGGCCATTTCCAGAGGTCTCTGTTGGCCTGGAACCCTATCCATTAGCTCTTACTACAGAGGGACTAAAAACGCAGATGCCAAAATTAGGTACAGGTGAATCATGCTCAACAACAATTCAAATTCCTCTTATGCAACAACCAATGATCTGGGCAGGTCTGTAGTGCCCTCTACTGATGCTCTTTTTTTTTGTCCAAATTATTCTCAAACATTCAAAAGGTTTTAAGAAGGATCTGCAAAAAGATACCTTTCAACAAGATAGTGGCATTTGGGTCCCAAATTGCAAAGACAACAGTCTACAAAATCTTAGCTGACTAGCTTTGAATTTTTAGTTTTTAAATAAACCCTGTTTAAAAGTTCAAATATTGTCCCACTGCATTTTAAGCCTGACAACCATGGATCAAACATGAAGGTATGAAATGATGAGTGACTGGTGAATATAACTTGTTTCTTTTCAGTAGAAAGCAACAGTCTCTGATCTTTTTGGGCTGCATCTACACTTTAAGGCACACACAACCCAGCTCTGGGTTGGCTCATGACTGCATGCATGCTGGTTCAAGCAGTGAATGTCTGTTGGGCTCACAACTCCCCTCTGATGAACCACAACACTGACTATGGGAACAGCGAAATCAAAGGTCAAAAAAGCAGAAATGTATGATTTCTTGATGTAGATAGTGGGAGGGGTACAGAGCAAAGAGTTGGATTGTGACAGAATTTAAGTGCTTGTTTCTATGGGGTTAGGGAAGAAGTAAAAAACTTTAGCATCCTTTAAAATAAGTTTTCAAACAAAATGGTTTTCACTGAGTTAAAATATAATTCATTGGACTGGACTCTTGTAAGTGTGTACTGGGTGTACATCATCCACATCACAGTTACGGCAAATCCAGATGCAAGTCACTGGTTCCCTCATTTATGCTGGGAGGTTATAAGAGAGGCAATGTTCTTATTAGAGGCGGCATGCCAGCAGTGTTCAAGGACATCAGCTGCTTACTGGCCAGAGGTTCAATGCTTCTGAATGCTGCTATCTGCCGAGGAGAGCATGAGTCTTCTTAGGAGTGAGAGACATACAGCCAGCAGCCAGTCTGAGCAGCAGGACCACCTCCCTTGCCCCATTAAATAGGGACCACTCACACATGGAGCCACCTGGGCTGCCCCAACGGATCTAGAGCAGAATGATTAACTATAAGGCATGGAAACCAAGGGAAAAAACAAGGCCTTTAAAGCCTAGAAGCTGGCCTGTGTTCTAGCTGCAAACAGCATTCATTCTTAATCCATGGTGACTAGAAAGTCACTCCAGTTTACATTCTCAGGTCTCACACAGCATGTCCCTCTCCAGTAAGGAGAGCTCTTCACTCATGCTCCTAGTACTCCACCGTGTAACTAGTTTACAAAATGGATCTGTGCTGAAAAACTGCACATAGAAAAGACTTAAGAAAATGTGCAATTTAGGGAAGCCTGTTTTAACAAGATCTCAATCCTGTGGGAAGCGGAAGCAGTCACGATCATGCCTTTCCTGCACTTTCAGTGGACTCCAGAGACTCTTGGAAGGATACTCCAAAGTAGCTTAGGGTCCCAGTGGCAATTTGCTAAGAGAACAATATCCAACCTGCAATCAGAACAGCTTGCAGCCATTGCCACTTTCAGATGGACTGCTCAAGAGGACTGAAATGCCACTTTAGTTCAATACAGCACTGTACACAGGGACTTCTCTTTGTAGGGCACATACACAGTCCAGATTTCCCTGATCCATTTTTAAAATAGGCAGATTTCACTCCAACCATGCACAATCCAGGGGAGCTCTCAATTGAACATGAGTTGTCCTACAGAGATGGTAAAAATTTATTGTCAAAAAATTGTGGAGAGAGTCAGCAAAGCCACCAGTGACCTAAACAAGCTCCATCTCCAACAAAAGAATTGACAGCCTGGGCAGCTAGTTTATGATGTGTATTTAGGAAGACTTACCCAAAGCAAATAAAAAAGCCTAAACATATTAAGTTTCTTTCCTAAATGAAAATGAGCTTTTTCAGTTTTGGAAATCCTGCTGCAACGTGCTGCCAAACATTTCCGACAGACATACATAAAGGCCTGAGATGCACCACAAAAGCTAACAGGGAAATTGAATCTGCAACAAAATTGGAACCGACGCAAA